TTTCTCTTTGGAATTTGATCAGTCTTCTCAGCTGCTGAAACTGAAAAGGCACTTGAAATAGTACTATGTCAGAGCCAAGACCAGGAATCAGAGCCTCCACGCATTTCTCCATGGATGAGCGGCTGTTAGTCCATCAATCCCACCCTAGCCCGAAACACTGCCTCTTGCTTCTATCCGGTAGGTCTGATTTTTCCTTTCTCTTTGGATTTTGATAAGCCTTCTCACATGCTGAAGCCGAAAGGCAGTTGGAACAGTGTGCTAGATCCAGGAACAAACGGGGTGTGGATTTTGAATAGAGCCTCCTCTAATTTGTCGATGGATGTGCAGCACAAGTTTTAGCTCCAGGAAGCTTTTATCAGTCTTCTCATCTAGTTGCTTGCTTGTACTCTACTAGTTGTGACGGCATTCTTCTTGTATGATATAATCAAGTGAAAGAAAGCATTGTGACATCTCAGATGAGTCACCATTTCTGATCTTTCTATATATGTGCATGTGTGTGGATTCACTGTCTGGTTTTAAAGCGTGTGTGTGCCTGCTGCCAGGTTAATGATTCCATGCTCGCCTGGAGGTTTGAATAATTTTCTTATATAGGAGATGTCTGGATTAATTACAATCTTCATGGGAAAGAATGTGCAAACGAAGAAAGTGTGAACACTGATTCTTTTTTTTTGATCTCACATTCTCATGGGACGAGTCTTGACTAGGTCCAGTGAATTCATTGGTTGTTCGCCTAACCGAAAAAATCCTCTGAAAAACGACGCAGTGTTGGAAAATAGAGTTGTCATTAGCTAAGTTTGCTCAATTACACATCTCTCAGGCTGAGCCAAAACCGTCCCAGGCGAGCTCTATGCAGCCTCACAATGATTTGAACTGGACCTTGTTTCGTACATCCACCGCCATTACCTTCGGGAAGCCACTGATAAAGAACTTTATGCAACACCAAAGTGAAGTGGGTGACTGTCCCCTATGTATTCTTGCCCCATAATTTTTCAAAAATTTCATGTGATAATCCAGATTGCCGGTGAGTTAGAACTTGTAAAGCCAAAACTAGTCAACTATGATTTCTAAGCTTGGTAGTTCTATGGAAGTGCACTACCACGGAATAGTCTGTCATTGTTGGTTCATTGCCAAAGGATGGTCAAAATAATTATTGTTCGACTCGCAACAAATCGGAGGTTTCAAACAAGTATCTTTTTTTCATGGTACTTCTTTTATAGCAAAGGTCATGTACTATACCTAACATTGCCTTTTATATAACCTACCAGTCCGTTCCCATCGTATAAAACAATGTCCTAACACTTGATCTCATCCATCAACTACCATGACCCAACCCCCCTCTCCCACCTGGCACACACCTTAACCTAAACCTTCCACCCTCCATGGTACTTGGATGTCGAAAACTAAATCAGTTCTTCTGATATTGCTTGGTGGGTGAACCAAAACATAGTACTTTCGGAAAGCTCAACCAAATGCCAAATGGATTTATCTTCATAGGACTAGGAAGCAAGGGGAAGTCTGCAGCATCAAGGGCCGACAAAGCATGAGCAACATCAATGTGTTCTGGTGCGGAAAAAAAAATCGTCTGGCAAGACCACCAAACTTGGTTACTGGCAGCTTCTCTTTCTCTGCATGTCTCCTTTTTCAAATAGAGATTATTCTTTAGAAAAATAAGCAAGAAAGAAATTAGTACAACTCGTCTTATCTAAACTATTAAAAGAAAATAGTATATTTCCTAGCCACGGTTGGAAGGCGGACTCTAGGGGCTTATTGTACACAAAATCAGGCAATACTATTTACTTAACTCCTCCATTACTTTCCTCCTGAATTTTTGTACTGCAGCATTTTCGATTGAAAATAAGAAAAAGAGTACAATCAACCATACCTTCATATACTGTGATTATCAAAAGCATAGGTATTCAAAGCGAGAAAAGACAATCTTTGGCAAATTTGGAAATTACAAGATAAACTATACGAAAAAATGATGAGTTACCGGCATAAACATAAGATATGCAACTGGCCTTTCTCAAACTTTCTTTTTTTTTCGAAAAGGAGGGACTCCCCGGCCTCTGCATCTGAATGATGCATACGGCCACATATATATATAAATAAAGAGGTTCAACAAGGTTTTAAAGTCTGAAAACAAAAAAACGGCAAGCTCACACAGAGCCACAACGTCAAAAACAGAAGGCCCAAAAGCCACAACCGGCTGGCATAACAAAGATAGGTAAACTAATCGCCTATCCTATTACATGACCACCATCCAAACCGGTTGAAGATATCCCGCGCTACCATCTCTCACCGGACAGATCCAGTAACCAAACGCTCCCTGGCCTCCGTCGGAGTGAGTAAGGACTACATACGGATCAACGCAGTAGCTCGGAATAAAACCTGCAAAAAATGAATAGTTGTTGTTCTGTTAAAAGCCAAATTTTTTCTGCAGTTCCAAATTGCCCATAACAACGCACATACTCCTACGCGAATGTGTCTAGCTGTTTCAGACTCTATCACAACAAGCCATGTTCCAAATAACAAACTGACCAAAATCGGAGGAGTAATGTTAAAGGCAATTTGCACCTTGTGCCACAAAACTCTCGCCAACGGGCAATCAAAGAAGAGGTGCTTGATAGTTTCATCCCGATCACAAAAACTACACCTAGTAGATCCTGTCCAGTTGCGCTTAACCAAGTTATCCTTTGTTAAAATGACTTGTTTATGTACAAACCACATAAACACTTTAATTTTCAAAGGAACCTTTACTTTCCAAACATGTTTGGAACTAGGAATAACACTAGATTTAATGACGACGATGTACATCGACTTGACTGTGAACTCTCCAGACCTAGTAAGCTTCTAACACAATTGATCGGGGTAATGAGCTAGCTGAACCTCCATCAGTCTACTCACCAAATGAAGCCATGCTTCCCACCGGTCACCAACAAGCACCCTCCTAAACTGAATATTAAGGGGAATGGACTGCATAGTCATTGCAACAAGAGCATCACATCGTTGAACAATACGATACAGGGACGGATACTGAAGCGCCAATTGCGTTTCACCAAGCCAAGTATTCTCCCAAAAGCGAGTGGTGTTGCCATTACCGACAATAAACTTTGTTCTATTAAAGAAGGCAGCTTTGACTCTCATAAGCCCCTTCCAAAACGGCAAGTCAGTCGGTCTCACCGTCACCTGGGAAAAAGTCTTGAACTACAGATACTTACTACGGAGAATCTGCGCCCACGTTGCCTCAGTCTCAACTGATAACTTATACAACCACTTACCGAGAAGACATCTGTTCTTGACTTCAAGATTCTCAATACCAAGGCCTCCCTGGTCCTTTGGTCGACAGATGATATCCCATTTGGCGAGTCGGTATTTTCTCTTTAGTTCATCACTCTGCCAGAAGAATCGGGTCGATAAAAGTCCAACCTTTTCCTAACCCCAACTGGGACTTCGAAGAAATATAAGAGAAACATAGGCATACTCGTGAGCACCGAATTAATAAGAATCAATCGG